TCTTAGTATCATAGTATAGGCTGTAGTGTTTTAAATGTGCTAAAATGTATTCAAGCTTTTCTTATTTGAGAAATATAGCCCATTCAAAAAAGAAGTTACTACTTCTTCAACATTCACTTTTGCTTGAGAACTAGAATTTTGTTAAGACTTTAATTTAAGGCCATATTTTAGGTAGAACTTATGTTCCAGATATAGATTTTACTCCATTCCTTATAGAGGGAAGCAATTAATCATTTTATTTAGTAGCAAAAAGTTCACAGGAGACTATAATTGGTCTCACTAAGATAATTTTTTCTTTTGTTTTATCTTGCTTTTGAAAGTAGCTGCTTGAAAAGAGTACTACATGACATATAAAAATGTGGAAAATTAACTAAAATAAAAAGACAATGGTATTTTATTTGTACTATTTTTTCATGAATAAAGGAACTTTCCTTTGAGATGCTATGCTTTTGATTTGCTGATCTATTAGATATTATTTTTCAATGATCTAGTCACATGGTATTGTCTCATTCTTTTTATTGTGCCTCTACTGAGAACTTTTTAAACCAATGACTTAAAACTGTGTACTTTACCTTAAGGATTAAAAATTATGTCCCTTTTGTATAAATTGGAAGTAGAGTGTATTGGTAAATATCTTCCTTCTCTGTTTTTCTTTTACCCATATCTGAAAGTAACATGCAGTAATTGGAGGACTTCAAATGTCAGATATGGAAAATCCCTGATGGAGTTTGAAACAGAGCCAGAGTGGATTTTCTAGACATAATCTTTTGGTGTAGCAGATATTAAGGAAAGAGTCTAGTATGCCATCTGTTGTGAACAGACTTAAGTTAATTTGATTATGCACAATATGTTTGCATTGGTAAAAAAATGTATGTAAGCCACTGACATGTCTGAATTGGATAAGGGTTGTTTACTCCTTCGCAACCTCCTTAACCATATTATAATGAATATAAACCAGAGTCCAAACTCTGCCACACATACTGACAGTTACAAAAATATGACACAAATTAATTCATACAACTTCAGTAAGCTTTATGAAGTCTCAACTTCCTGGCCTTTTAGGTGTTCCCACAACTGCATTGCATGAAAAATTTATTGGAGGCACATATGATAACATTACAGAGGTAGGATTCTGTCACCCTTACAGTGGGTATCAGGGAATGACAAATCTTCCTACCCAGATGGCTGGACAAAGGACACAGGACAAAGATCAATCGGAGGGTACCAGGTCTAAGAGTATAGGTTTATGACCTTAAGAGATACATATAAACTGTGAAAGAGTGAGATGTGACTCTGAAATATTTTAGCTAAACATAAATTAAGCACTATTAATTTAACCAATGACAGCTGACTACTTATCTCCAGCATGCTGATTAACAAGCCACTGATTTTACCAATGAAAGCCCAATTCTGACATTCATTATACTAATCCTCTGTATTGGTCCAAATATGGAAAATGGAAGTACTTGCAGCAGGTGCCCTGAAGTCTGGCCTTTCAGGATGAATGCTACTGACCACCCCTGGGGTGTGAATTCCTGATTAGAGCAAGCAGCTGCCTTTCCTGCAGAGAAGTACAGACCAGCACAGACTTTTATAACACACTGTGATGAAGTATTTTACAATAAATTACAGATATCATATTATCATTTTTCTCAATGAATAAGACCAACAATTTCACCCTCTAAATACATGATTTGCTTAATTTTTCATCAAAGGCAGTTAAAGTTGCAAAACTTTCTTAATTTCAACAGTCATTAATTTTTGTTTTATTTTGTTTTATTATTATTATTATTATTTGGTCAAGATGCTATATATGTAGCCAATTTACTCACTTACTCTGAGGTTCTTCAGACATATGTAACTGAGAAAATAAGCTACCAGGCAGGAATCCTCTCATCTCTGCACCATCATAGTTTTCGGCCTACCTCCATCTGGGTTGCAGCTAACATTGAATCTATTCCCCATCTTGAGCTCTGAATCCCACCTTCTCTGTCTTCTCCAGATCTTCACTCTTACAGTTCTCTCTCTCTATCTCTTTCTCTCTCTTTCTTTCTCTCAGCATCACTTTTTTTCCTTCTCTCCTGATTAACCATCAATTTACAAAATGTGTTTTTGTCTCTCCCAACTTTAAAAAAAGACCTCCTTTTCAACTTCATGTCCTTAACCAGCTTCCATCCCATTTCCTTCTTCCCTTTCATGGTAAAATATCTGAAAGAAAAATTTGGCTTCCTTACTTCCAAGTCTCTCATCAACCCATTCCTACAGGATGTCACTCTCTGCTACTTTGATGAAATCTCTCTTGGCAGGGTTACTGGCGACTCCCACATTACCAAATGTAGCATTCAGATGTCTGCTTTTTTATTCTTGGTCTCCCAGCAATACTGCCCACAGCTGACCATCTCGCATGTATGAAATACCTTCCTACCATGCTTTTCATGACATCACCCTCTCCTGAATTCCCTTCTTCCTCACAGGCCCCTCCTTCTGAGTTTCCTTTTCTGAATGTTGGCAGCTGGAGTGTTTTGAGCTCAGTCCTGGATCACTTTCTCTTACCTATGTACACTGGCTTAACAAGACTTTTATTTAGTCTCTGGTTTTAAAAAATATATAAGTATGCTGGTATCCCCCAAATACATGCCCAGCCCTTGACTTAACTCTGGTCTTTCATAAACAACTGTCTACTTGGCATCTCCATTAGGATACCTAGCTTAGATTCAATCTAAATCTACAATATGCAAAGCAGAATCCTTGATTTCTTGACAAAGTATATTTCTTATTTCAGTGATAGCTTTATTGCTCCTCTATTGCTCAAGCCAAAGTCCTCATGACACATTCTTGATTCCTTTGTTTCCTCATTCCCCAAACTCAATCCATAAGTGAATCCCATTTATTTTACCCCCAAATTACATCCATCCACTTCTCTCTCCTCACTACTATTATGCTAATCCTTCATTTTTCTGCAAACCTCCATCCCAGCCAGCTCAATAGGAGTTGACAAGAGCAGAGATTAGGGCAGAGACATTTTGGGGTAAGGCCTTATAGATCAGGTAACAAGTTTGATTTTATTCTAAATTTGATAGGAAACAACTTGGAGATTTTTGAGTAGAAAGTGGCACGCTGTATCATTTTAAAAGATCTCTTCTAAATGCCATGCAGAGAATGAGGGACACACTGGAGTTGGAAAGGAATGCAGCAAAGGAACGAGTGAATGTGTCTCGGTATTTACAGAAGCCGATGCTTTCCTGTGTTAGCACTTTGACCCGGGTCAGATGTAACTAATAATGGCTTTTGTTCAAGAGACCAATTCTCAAGTGAAGTTAAAGTGAACATAGAGTCTCATAGTTCACTCTGACTTGATACTAGAAGTTAAAGCAGGTCCCTTGGAATGCTTTCTTACTTGATATTAGGAAAGAATGACCAAGAAATGGAGTTTTTGTTAACATGAGATTTAGTACTAATGATTTAGGGTGGGTCTAGTAATAACATGATCTTGACTTTAAAATTATTGGCTGGAGTACAAGTTAGAGAAGGCGCAGTCTTTTTTCCTTTAGGACCTTTGTGATTTCTGTTCCCTTTATCCATGTTAACTCTTATGTTGAATATTCAAAATTCATGAGGTGTAATTAAAAATCAGCTTTTTTTTCCCCCCCTCTCTCTTTAAGAATGATCAGGGAAATACTTCCCTTGCCTTTGAATGAAAACTTGCAACATTGCATGCATTTTCTGTTACTCTTAGGTAATAAAAACTTCTAGGGTTTCTTTAAGTTACAAACATATTGTCAATTCAGTTATTAAAAGTGCCTAATTTTATGTAGCAATTATAACTCTGAATTTAAAGTTAAATCTCCCCCTTCTCCTGGGTTTGCTGCATTAGGAAGCCTGAGGTCAGGACACAGGTGGTTTCCTTTTCTCACCCATGACTGCAAAGTGTCAAAAAGCCATGGGAAAGGAATGAATAGATGTAAACACATAAAAACTTAATTCATCAAACATTATTAAGTATGAAACATAGCATATGTAGGGAAGGGGAAGTTGTGAAATGTTTCCTATGAAACAATTTTTTGGAAAATCAAAGGATAGCTAATTTCATAACTGGCTTTTGTGACATTGTGGCTAGAAGTTAAACCAGGTCCCTTGGAATGTTTTGTAACCATGTATTTTCTCCTACGATTTTATGAATAAAAAATTAGAATTCATTTTATTTAATTCAAGGTCATTGACATGATATATCAATTATATGTTCCGTCAAAAAAAATTTCATTAGATAAAATAAATTCCCTTTTGCTAATTCAATGTTAATTTTAAATTTGACAGGTTATATTTTCAAAAGAGATTTAATTCACAACTAGGGTACTATATCGCCATATCTTACTGATGTCTTTCATATGATAATTCACCATTCATCTCTTTTGAGTAGTTTATATAATCTGGTAAACTAGCTAACAACTAATTTCAGTTAGTAGTTGAGAAACATTTGGATGTGGAAAACAAATGGCTACAATCTTATTTATTTCATGAATTTTTCTCATGATCCAAATCCTAAAGAAAAGGAATAGAATTTCTTTGTAAAGTAAATTCAATGATTTGACTTTGTATTTTGGTCCAAAGCTATGAGCTATTTGTTCTAGTTGTATCCAATTAATTATTATCACTTATGAGACTTGATTAGTTTTTTAATGTGAAATGCCATAAATTGATTCAAACTATTATATTGCTTATCTATTTAGAAACATTAATTGTTTTTTGAATGATTAATTTCCTAGTGCTTTACAAATCCTCTCTGTTGGAACATAACATGCAGTTTAAAGGTGAAAGCTCATGGAATAAGCCCAGAATTTGATGTATGAATCTTGACATATACCAGATGTGTATTTCTATCAGATTGGCACCAAATATTTTTGTATATTTGAAAACTAACCACAATTTTAGATTACTTGTTATGTTAATGGACTTTATCACTCAATTTAGAATTTTCCTTTGTTTATATGTTTTGTCGACAGGTTGCTTCAGAGATGGTCATCATTATGATGAAGGATCAGTAATTAAAGAAAACTGCAACTCCTGGTAATGAATTTAAGTGGCACTTAACTGAATTCTACTGTCTGTGTATGTTTTCTTCAAATAAAAGGAATATTTGTGAAACAAAACACACATTTAAATACATATAGGCAGAATCATATGTCATAAAATATCACATATTTGTAACTTTTTATAAGCATATTTAACTTTAATGAATCTCGAAAATTTAATCATGAATATATCTTTTAATGCTTGAGTTGGATGTTCTTGATAACGAAACTTATCATACAGCAGACCTGCATTAAATGTACCTCTTAATTACAAACAGTCTGATATACTACAGGCAAATTATATTTTTTTGAGTGTAAAAACATGCTGCTTTAAAAGGATTAATATAAAAAAGAATAAAAAATCAAAAGATTGATCTGCAGAAAGTTTCCAAGTACAAGTATATTAATCTACTGTCCAAATTGTCTTGTGTTTTCAAACTTCAATGAATATGTGATCATATCATTTATTAATTGCCTGCAGCAGAGGATAAGTGCATATTGAGGAGTGGCTAATGTATGTTTTCTGATATATTTTTGCTGAGAATCAAATAGCCATATGGCTATCATTAATTTTAAAAATTATGTTTTATGTCTTAACAATGTGCAACTCTTATTACTAATTTTGAAATATATTCCATAAAGGCCACAACACTTTTGTAATTGTTGTATCTTTGCAGCACATGCTCAGGACAGCAATGGAAATGTTCCCAGCATGTATGCCTTGTTCGCCCAGAATTAATTGAAAGCATCAATAAAGGAGACTATGGGTGAGAGAAATCTTGCTCTATATGCTTCTTGGCACACTCATTCATTCCTCAGGTTTCAGACAATGTATTGACTGTCTAAAAATTGTCATTATTTAAAAAGTAAGAGTGGAAGAGATATGGGAAAGGAGATAGAAAACAAGTAAAATTGGAAGGCAAAGGTAAACATTAAGTAGTTGAAAATTAAAAGGCACAAATAAAAAAGAAATTTAGAATATAGTCATAAATCATCTAGGAAAGAGCAATGTCATGTGTAAGTAAATAGAGTGGAGGGAGCTTTACTTTGGATAAGTATTTAGTTAAAATCAGGAAGTCAGAAAAATTGATTTATTCATGCTAACCATCTTTCCCTCTGCTGCTGTCCCGACCATGCCAATCACACGCTTAGCCACCCTGGGTAGAATCTGACATTAAAAGGAGAATGTCTTGATGATCCCCCAAATAACGAGTCAATCTAGAAAGCTTCACTGAAATGACTGATAGCTAGCCAATTTTACTCACAGTCCAGTCAAAAGACAGGTGGAGCCACTTTGCTTTGCTAGCAAACTAAAAATGGGATGATTGACACTTAAACATTGGAAATACCTGTGCTCTTCTACGGATTAATAAATTAGCTGGCATCTCTGCTTACATAAAGGAATTAGGATGCAGGCACCCAACACTGACTTTCTTTGTAGAACTGAAAGAAAGATAAATAGACTGGCTGGTATCTGCCTCAGGATTTCTTCACTGCCATTGATCAAATCTCTATATACCCTTGATAGCATCTTCCACATTCTGCAAAAGACTTCACATAAGAAGATCTATTAACAAGAAACTAGAAAAATGAAATAATCTTGAGATGTAATTGTTAAAAATAGCAATACCGTTTCCTTCCACAAACAGATGTTATGTTTCCCAGCACAGTGAAGACACTGAATTTCAATGTATCCAAAATATTTTCTTGGAAGTCACAAAATATAGAAAGTCACATTTGTTGACATTAATATTCTTAAACCATTCTCAATTCCTCTGTGTGTGTGTGTGTGTGTAACCAATATTTTAGGCGATAACTTGACGACATTTTAAGTATTTCTAGGGAAAATCAATTATAATTTTCTGTGGCTAAATTGTATTTAAATCACTCAAAGAACATGAGAATATGTGTCATCTTGAGAAATTATCTGAATCAGGTTTCTAAAAGGATCCAACTGCTGGACCGAATTAACACACCTTTCCAAGAAACCGTAAGCACTGTTAGAGAATACATGAGAAAACACAGTCTAAAACAATGTGGTAAGAAAGTATACTTGAGTACAGAAGTTGTCGGAAATGCTGCCTTCCTTGGCAAGAACAACTTTCTTTCCATCACTTGTTTATTTTGAGCATACCGTAGGACTAGTTTAGAGGCATGGGCTTTGCATTTTAGTAGCAAACATTAAAATGTTACTTGACTTTAAAAGAGTAGAAAAAGAAGTATAATTGGGGCAAAAGGAGACATACACAGACCAAAGAATAAAGTTAAATAAAAGGAACAAACTATGAAGAAAAGAAATAAAACTAAAGCTATTTACCGGGGGAAAAAAGAGAGAAAATCCTTGAAACTAAAAGAAAGTTCTAATTCGGAGCTATTCTTTTTTTATGATACCCCAATTGTTTTCATAATATAATATCTTGTTCAATATTCATTAAGTGCTTTTAGAAATAGCCTACATAAAAATATATAACCTTTGCTTTAAAATGTTTCTTTCCTGCATCTTGGCAGCATTTTAGATCCAAGACTTTATTCATTCTACATCATGTACTTCAGCGCTTCTTTATTCTCTGTATAATTCTGCAGTGCAACCAACTGATATTAATAAAACACGTGTTCCACTTGTGGCATTGCTGAGGTTACAAATAAATAATTTCTGTCTTAAAGGAAGTTACCATCTTGTTGAGGAGCCAACATGTCATAACTTTAAAAAAGAATTTCCAATGATAGGACAGAGTATAAGTCCCAAATTAGTGACACAAGTAATAATAAGCAAGTTAGTGGAATAAAGGGAGATACATAACTGTTTCAGTTATCTGCTGCTGTGTAACAAAACCATTCCAGAATTTAGCAGTTTAAAGCCACAAGCTTTTCATTTGTTCACATCAGCAATTTGGAATGGACTCAGCTGAGGCTTTTTGGCTATTGTCTTCTACGGTTATGAGTGTGTTTCTAGACATCCAGAGCCTCAACTGGGGCTGAATTGTCTGGGATGGCCTTATTCCCATGTCCGGTGGTTGGTGCTGGTGCAGCTCCAGCAGGCTAGCCTTGGCTGCTTCTCATAATGATACTTCTAATAGAGCATAAGTGGAAGCTGCACAAGTCCTCTTTTGAGACTTACATTTGATAGATGCCCACCATCAATTCTACTCCTTTCTATTGTGCGAAGCAAGTTGTAGGGCCAGTGCACATTTAAGCGTTAGAGAAATAGACTTGATGGAAAGTGCTACAAGTAATTTGTGGCCATTTTTAATCTAACTTGTCTCCACTTGATTTTTCTTATAAACTCAAAATCTAGTTTATTGGATAAGTTTACCTTGATTCCTCACTGGTTTCTGGAAATCAGCAAATCCCAAAATGAAGGGAAGAACTTCTACCAATTCTTGGTTACGGCATCTCTCTCCATCTGGCCAACCAAGCCAGAAAATTTGAAATTAGTTTGACTTTTTTCCTTCCGTTTCACTCTCAGACACCAGGTCTGGTTAAGTCCCACACTCAAGTTTCTCTCAGATATTTATTTCCTCCATTACTAAGCTATATTCTAGCACATTTCTCTATCTAGCCTAGTTTGCAATGATCTTCCTTGTCTCTCTGTTTCCAGAGATTCTCAATTGTACTCCATCGGATATGGAATATAATTATCCTCCTTAGCATAAATAACTCCTTGGCCCAAATGTTTCCTTATTAACTCTTGTTTTATACCTTTTTCAGCCCATGTGTCCCTGTCCGCTCTCATGGTTTAAGCATTTAACTTATCTGCCATTCCCTAAAGGTGCTACCCAATTTCAAACATGCATGCTTTGCTCTAGTTGTCTTTGTTTCCAATAAATGCTGTCTTCTTTTCACCTCTGGCTGCCAAACTCATTCTCATCTTTCCAGACTGAACACTAAATTCACTTTCTGTAAAAAATATGCCGACTCCTTCAGGCAGAGCTATGTGTGAATCTTCTACTCTGATCATATTTTGACCTATTGCTAACAAACGACACTCATTGAAGTCCTTTCTATCTTTTTAGTCTTCGTTAGGGTATGAGCTTCTTGAGTGTAGAGAAATGTATTCATATCTATGTTTCCAGTGTTTATCAGAGAATAGGATCAATTATGAAAGTTCAATAAATGATAAATTGTATTAAATGGAAAGTTATAAGTCTAGGTCGAGGAGGATGGTATAGGGTAGTAGTGCTTTTCACATTTTTTTGAGTATAACTCACAGTAAAACATACATTTTACTTTGTTATCCAGTACATACACATATGCACACACACGGGGGGTCAGTGGAGAGAAAGAAATAGTACTTACCTCACTATTACAATAAACTCTACTATTTTCTATCCTATCTTCTCTTTTATTTTTCAAAAATTCTCATCCCTGCTTACTAAATTGAGTGCTTAATTAAATGACCTATGCCTTTGATCTGTGTTTGAAAACTACTAATGTAGGCCACCAAAAACATACTTTACTGATATCACAATTTTGCCCAAGACAAGTCCTGTTGGTCTCTTGAATTATGCTACAATATCTAATATATTCAGAGGTTTCCTTATTGAAATTCCTTGAGTAATAGAGATTACACTTTAAATTGTAGCTGAAAGTTGCTAAATATTTCCTGAAAAGATCATATTAAAGAAAAATGTTAACTTGCCAGGCAAATTATTGAAAATTGACTTGTACTTTCAATCATGCCTAAGAGCCTATCATATTATAAACAATTTTGATGATAAACACAACACAGGATAAAGTTTAGGTTTGACTTAAGTACTGAAGATACATTGCCCTCAAGGTGTAGATAATTCAAAAAAGCAACAATTAAATTACTTTCCTCTTTCTCATTTTTCATTTACTATCATCTCTTAAGGAATTTTTCTTGTCTTCAAATTTTAATATTAAATTTTGAAAACAAAGTTTCTTTTCCTATGTAAGAACAAAAAATATGTCTCCAGAAAAATATGCACTTTTTGTTATGTAATTTCACATCAGTTGACTTTATATTATTATTGATTATTGAGTATTTAACACATACTAATTCATTTACTGTAAGATAGAACATTTTAATATCTAATTAATTAGCACCGTTGTAATTTTCTTAAAGTATAACTATTTTGTTCTCAATTTGTCATGCATGCTTCTTTTTACCTGATAAACTTCTTTTCAAATCTAGATTATAAAGAAAACAGATTACTCTATTTAATTTATAAGTACATTTCTGTCTAGTCAAGCAGCTTTCTAAAATGCACTTAATGGCAGTTAAAGGAAACTGTATACATTGGCCTTATTACCACTTAATCCTTTTAGAATATGTAAAGATTTCGTATGTTTTAGTCTATATTGATATGGTCTTATGATCCTCATATGAGTCATTGAAATAATTGAAATGGCCCTAATTTAGGAAGAGTGTTTCATAGCCTTGAATATTAAAGTAATCATATATAAAGAATAGCTAGCCTACAGTAATAGTTCCCATTTGGTGACATTTGCTGCTGAATAATTTCAGAAATATAAATGATAATGTATTTACAAAAGTGATATCACATAACCTATGTACATTTTTCTCTTTCATTTGTAAGGCAGATGGACAGCACAGAACTACAGCCAATTCTGGGGAATGACTTTAGAAGATGGTTTCAAATTTCGCTTGGGCACCTTGCCACCTAGCCCTACGCTTCTGAGCATGAATGAAATGACAGTAAGTGTTCTTTCTGATTCATATATGTGTATGCATTTGTATAGGCATGTTCGTATGTGCTTTTAAAGTAATTTTTAAATAACTAAAATAATGAATTTGAGCTTGTAGAGTCATAATTTTGTCATATAAATCCAAAATCTTTTCACAAAATGGTTGTTACATCCCTTAAATGTCTCATGTGGGCTTTGAAAGTTCACTATGATCAATTAGACATTGTTTTCTTTAAGAATGACTGAATGCCCGTATACATTGCTAATGATTTCACAGAAATACAAATTTCTGATTGTAGGTTGTTCTGTGTGCAAAGCTTCAGCAAGTCATGGTCCTTCTTCTTTTTCTTTTTTTTTTAACTAAACAGTTATTTTGCAAAATCATCAAAACTTTGATGTCTCTTGGAATATCCATTATCACATGAGAATAAAATAATGCTGGTAGCTTTAGACATGTATGCTATGATGATTAGTAAAGGTTTGTCCTCAAAAATCCTCAAAATTTCTGTTAAAAGGATATCTTCAAATTTTGCTGGATGACGTGGCAAACTTCTTTGTAAAATTTTATGCTTTGTACTATTGCACGGGTTTTCCCTTTCATTTGTAAAAGGTGTTATCTGGTAATAGGTATCTCACACAAAGAATCTTGTACCTCTTTAGTTACCACGAAACTCTTACTCACAGAGCTGCAATTTTACCACCCAGCATGCGGTGTTTCTCAGGCACATACAGTCTGCAGTTTAGATGTTGGCTGTACTCAAGGCCTGTTACTAATGCCTAGGGCAGAGTTGGCTCTCAGGCCTCTGGACTGTAGCCTGTCCCCTCCCCAGTGAAGACATCAGGTTCTGGTTGCCTGGAAGCTCTCCGCATCTCCAACAAGCAGGGTGGTTGTTTGCTTTTGGATGAATGTAAACCCATAGGTTTCTCTTTAAATATTTAATGCTCTTTGCTTTTGTGAGATGTAATCACCTGAGTTATTACTCTAATTCAAATTGCAGTAGTAGGGCCTGTTAAATTATAACTAGTATGAGAGAAGACAATTACTAACGTTTATTGAGTGGTTGTGTGTTAAGCATTTGAGCACTTTTATACATTACCTTATGTAATTCCAATAGCAGTTTTATGTAGTGAGTGCTATCATTATTCACATTTTAAAGACAAGCAAATTGAGATGGAAAGAGGTTGAGTTACACTGAAATTGACAGAGGTTAAGAGCTGCCACCGAATTACTTAAATTGCAGAGCCAGAACATCTGAAAAATCTCTCCCCCAAAAGGTCACTAGAGTTCCAGTAGAGTCAGTTAGCATTGGCCAATTCAGGTTCAAAGTAGCAAAAAGACTTTTAATCTCTTAACCAGAGCTATTTTTTTTTTTAAATTATCAGCTTAGATGTATTTTTGGATCTTTCCTACAATCAGTAAGATATAAATCTTTAGAGATATGGCTCAGATTTATAGTTTTTAGTGACCAAACTATATGATCAACTTGAAAAGTCATTTTTTCTCCCTAGTTGTTTTCTTTTTCACTTTTGTCCCCACCCAGCTGGAAAAAAAATAGGCAGCATTATTTAAGAAAAGACAGCAGTTTATAAGATTGCTCTTTCACTTGTTTTTATGGAGGGCCAAACACTCATTTAGGTGTCTATGTACATTTCCTTGAAATTATTTCTAACATTTCCTTCTTGAACTTCAGTTTTTGCAGTTTGGAATATTTTGTATTCTAGAAAAAATGAGGTACGTTTCTTTCCCAAGTTGCTACTTGCCGTTGCAAAGAAAAGGAAATCAAATTCTAAATCATTTATTGGCTCCTCAGGATTTGTTTGCATAAAAGTTGCTGTGGTGATATTTAAATGAAAAATCATAATGACTACTACTTGGGGAGAATTTAAATTACCTTGTGCTATGAATTAATGTAATACAGTTGCAACTCCTGGAATGGCCAAGTAATTCTAGGAATGAAATAAGGAAAATTCAGCTGAACCAGTGAGAGTTCCATTACTCACTTAAGATACACGGGGAGGAAGTGCATCTTCTTTGTAGGGAACAGTAGTGTAAGGACTAAGTTCCTGAGTGTTGGAGAGTTGTTCCAATATTTAGTTAGGCGGAAAAGAATTAGAAATATAATAAGTATTTCTAGGAAGAACATGAGGTCGATATGAACTGAGTTGAACTTGTAGCTACAGGAAGAAGTAAAACTGGGTTAGTTTTAGCCTGGTAACTTCATAGAAAACACCCAATACTATGATATCCAACTGCCTCCAAGTATGGTGAAAATGAATTCTTTTTGTGAGTATGCTTCTGGATAACTGATTTTTCCTCTATTTTTTTCCCAACATTTTTTAAAACTGTTATTATTATTTATTTATTTATTTTGAGATGGAGGAGGTCTCACTTTTTTGCCCAGGCTAGAGTACAGTGGTGCAATCATAGCTCACTGCAGCTTCCCACTCCTGGGCTCAAATGATCCTCCCACCTCAGCCTCCTGAGTCACTGGGATTACAGGCGTGAGCCACCACACCCAGCTAAAGCCATTTCTTAATATATGATGGACTGTAAGATAGGCTAGGCAGCTGCCAACAGTGGTATGATTTCAGGCATACCGAGAAAATTGCCTGCACCTCCACCCCCAAATAGCTCCATCTCCTTGGCCACATTGCCTGGATAAGAGGTGGGATTCATGGAATTATTTTCCCTGAGTGAGAAAGATGAGCCATGAGTCAACCCAGATTCCCGGGAAAGCTCTTCCCTTCCTTGGCTGGTTTCCTGGCTTTGTTCCTTAGCATAAGTCATTATTTCCATAATGTGTCCACTGGGCATGAGTTAGAGGAATGTCAATATTCCATGATCATATAAATGTGAAAAATCTGTTTAACCTATATGAATTGGTTCAATCCAAACAAATTTTTGCAGAATGTGGTTAGTAACAATGAGGAATAGAAATATGTTGATATTGGGAAATTCGAAAAAGATAACTTGAGGCTTTGGGAGGGAGGAATCCCTGGATGGCAGTCCTAAGTGAGGGCAGATAGAAAGAAACATAAACTTATAGTTCTCACCGGGTACAAACAGAGTGGGTCAGAGGAAGTTAAAGAAGGGAAAGGAAGAAGGCTGTGGGGCACTGCCTAGACCGTGCAGCTCCTGGCGAAGAAATAGAGAAGAGAGCCCCTCTGTGAGTTGATGCAGTCCTGAGGGCACAGGGCTTGACAAATAGAAGCTTCCTTTCAGGGAATTAGAAAAACAACCCCTCCGAACAGAAACAGTGATCTACCAAGCCAAAGGGCTTGGCAAGCACAGCAAAGGATGAATTCCAGCCTCTACTTGAACTTTGAGCTAGGCTTCCTGGGACAGCTCCCAACTTGCAGAACTATAACTCTCCCATCTATGGTCAAATGAATTTGTGAAATGGTATGTTATATCTCTCTTCTAAGAATCACGCTATTCATTAGTATTAATATATTGCAGATGCTGAGAATGCTTATTGTATTAACAGGCTTTTTTTTTTCACCCAATGTTTCCTAAATTTACAAGATGAGGACCTTTTTCTTTTCTTCTCCTTCTTTTTATGTTGGTAATAATTATTGATATTCCCCAGGATTTAGGTTCTACACAGAGCATATTTTAGGAAATACTGACTTAAGCTAAGATATTGAAATAAGAGTGCCGGAGGGAGCAGAAGTGTATTCTGGGGAAAAATAGAACTTTCTCAGTGTCTCAGAAGGAAAACAACAGAGGCAACCAATTATTATGACTGTACGCAAAACTGTCATTGACTGAGGTCCTTTTGAGCCAGCAGGAACGTTGCAGTTGAAGTCATGTCAAAAGGCGTGTGTAGCCACTATGTTCGCTCCTGTGGTAGCACTCCACGCATCATGGACAGCGTGAGCTTGGGAGCCAGTGTGCTTTAGTCTTCTAGCTCCTCTACTTACAGCCCCAGTATCCTTCTCCATAAAATGACATACTGCTGTACGAGTCCCATGAAACGCTGAAGGAGAAGTGCTTATGCAATACTCAGACTATAGTAAAATATTAAATAAATGTTGTTATGTGATATATAAAGTTGTTCTTCTTTTTTTTTGAGACATAGTCTTGCTTTGTTGCCGGGGCTAGAGTGAGTGCTGTGGCGTCAGCCTAGCTCACAGCAACCTCAAACTGCTGGGCTCAAGTGATCCTCCTGCCTCAGCCTCCTGAGTATCTGGGACTACAGACACAAGCCACCACGCCTTGCTAATTTTGTGTTTCTATTTTTAGTTGACTAATTTTTTTTTTTCTATTTTTGGTAGAGACAGGGTCTCGCTCTTGTTGGTCTCGAACTCCTGACCTCAAGTGATCCTCCCGCCTCAGCCTCCCAGAGTGCTAGGATTATAGGCATGAGCCACCATGCCAGGCCCTAGAGTTGTTCTTTTTCCCTTGTATTAACCTAGGGAGAATAGCAAGGTTCTGAAATAGGTCAATTCTGCAAAGACTAAATTATTCAAACTTTCATTATTTGGAGAATTTTATTTCGTAAAGAAAAGTATAGTCCTGGATTTATTGGCCCTGGTGGAGTTTATATATTTCTGGTGAACTTGAAAGTTCTTCCACTATGCTCTTATAACAAATCAAATCACATCATATCAAATCAAATCAAACCAACTCTGTACCTGATTATTTTTCTAGACACAATGTTCAAGTGCTTTTGAATTTGGGGGATAGCTCCCAGAAGCTTCACTGTGTTATATCCTAATTATAAATATGGAAAATATTTTGAATGAAAAAATACTATTTTTACACAGAAATGTGAAAATTGAGTTGATTTTTGTAGTTGGCTCAGTTAAAATGTGTTTCATTATTATTTTTGTTTATTCCCCAAAGAGAATAATTAGGTTACTAAAGCTAGCACAGAAGTATAGAAATATTAAGAAGGCTTGTATAACATTTAAAACCTGTAGCTATATTATATAGCATCAGATTAAGTAACAATGTTCTAAAATTGTTTGAATCAACCTCATCGTTAACTCATACAAACAACTTTT